CTCTTTTTCAGTAAGTTAATCCAAAGATCCTAAAACACTGAAGAATTCAAATGTCTATTTTGAGATAGGATCAGTGACCTCAAAGAGGATTGAAATGAACAGATGGATGAAATTGAGAGCTCTGTTCAAGACTTGAACAAGAGTCGGGCAGTGAGATGGCTCAGCTGGTAAAGGCACTTGCAGCCAAGCCTGAGGACCTGAGTTTGATCCTCAGAACCCCACAGTGGAGAGAACTGACTCCTGCAAGTTGTCCTCTGACCTCCACATGCACCATTGCACATGCAGCATGGCACACACACACACACACACACACACACACACACACACACACCCCACACAATAAGTGACTTTTCTAAGACTTGTACAGGGAATTAAGCAAAGAGCTTCTGAGAAGAGAAACCCTTAAAATGAGCAGCTCAGTAAATCGAATTTAAAAAGACCTTAGTGGAAAGTGTCGTCAGTAGACATTATTAACTCAGCTAGCGCTCAGGAGCCGGGAGAGCCTACAGCGAACGTTACAGGCCATTGACAAAGGAAATGAAGTAAGCTGTGAGAAGACTGAAAGAAGCCCCGCGTTCATGGAGCAACAGGATTGGTGCTGTCAGTGGCCGTGTTACTACAAGCAATGTACAGTCTTAATCCAACCCCCATGAAAAATCCAATGATATTCTTCACAGAACTAGAAAAAGAATCCTAAACTTTATATGGAAGTACAAAAGTTCCCAAACGGCCAGAGCACTCCTAAGCAAAAAGACAACACCAGAGGCCCTGCCCTATACAAGTCGTGCTGTAGAGCCCTTGTAACAAACACAGCACGGTCCTGGCACACACACACAGGCGCATACACACACAGGCACACACAGGCACACTCACACACACAGGCACACGCACACATGCACACACACACAGATAGACACATGTATGGAACAGAAGACCCAGAAATCAATGCCTGTAGCTACAGTTCTCTAATTCTTGACAGAGGGACAAAAATACCTGCTGAATGAACAGTTTCTTCAACAAAAGGTGCCAGGAGAACCAGATAGCCACATGTAGAGAAATGAAACTGAATCCTTACCTCTCACCCTGTACAAAAATTGATTCTAAATGAATGAAAGACTTAAACACGAGACCTGAAACTGAAAACTGACAGAGAAAACGGGCAAGGACTCTGAATTTGACTCCAGTAGCTCAGAAATGAATAATATTAGGAACTGACAAATGAGAGTCCATTAAATTCAAAACCTTCTGCACTGAAAAGGAAATATCAAAATAAGGATACAGCCAACAGGACTGAAAAGATAGCTTTGCCAGTTATTTACCTGACAGAGGATTAATATAAAAAACTCAAAAATTAACCCCCCG